TGACTTTCAGATCTTCATCTGTAGGCAGTTTGTAGTCCTCACACTTTTGTGAAGGACACACTGAACGCCAGTTAAAAAAACAAAACAGCTACGCTATCTTTGGCATTTTATAGAATCAGTTAGATAGTCTGAAAACTTCTGGCTCAGTCCTTGCGTTAGCTTTCTTTGTTATGATTGAGTGATTCATCGGTCACACTGGTCTGAGACCAGAAACTAAATCTGGCTCAGTGGAAGAAACAGACAAAGAAATGATGGTGGCTCAAGACTTTTGCACAGCTGTAGATAAAATCCAAAATAAGAAATTTTTTATTTTATACCATATGTGGGAAATAAAACGGACTTAATGGAAAACGTTGACTCATGTAGTAAGGTACAGTCATTGTTATTGTTTCTAACTGTTGTTGGCGTTTCTGTTTTCTAGGTCATGGTGGACAACGCAGACTTCACTCCCTCCCAAGTGGGCGGACTCTTCACCTTTTTAGCTCGTCAGTTGGCCAAACCAGACAACACCCTGTTTGTGAACAGGAAGCTCTTTGATCAGGTGACCAGTAGCTGTTACACGTTCAGTCTTTTTTTCAACTAGGCCGTCCTCGAAGCAGTTTCAATGTTTATTCAGCATTCTGATCTTTAAATGATCTCATTGTCTGTGCAGGTGCTGGAGTTCCTGTGTTGTCCGGACGATGATTCCCGACACACTGAAAGGCAGCAGGTTAAACACACAAACCTCCGTCTCTCTCTCATGACCTTGTGCTCGCTCGCTGCTCTCAACGGCTGCCTTCGTGCCGATAGGCGTCAACGAGCTCCAACGCGTCGACCTCCTGGCACAGGAAGCAGACACAGCGTTTTCTAAAACACTGATGTCGTCGCCTGCTTTGTGCTCTGGTTGTAAATGTGCGTCAGGATCACGACTGCTGGGTGGGCGGGTCCTCAGAGCCTGATGCTGTCAGCAGGATTCAGCTTTGTTCACAATAAAACACACATCATAGAAAATACATCAAATGTTTGCACTGAGAAAATGAACCTGAGCTAATTTTGAATTTGGCATTCGGAGCAGCACATCTGAAAAAAGTTTCCCCTCCTTCTTTTAACTACAGTCTGTAGACGGCAGCGCGCAGCTGCTGGACTTTAGTGTTGTTCTTGTCTGACACACAGCTGTGGATCATCGTATCGTTTCACTGAACGGTTCTCCTTCCTGCATCGACTGATTGTACAGCATACGTCT